TTTGACATCTGTCCCGTTACTAACTCAACATTTACATGTTCCGTTCACGCTAGCCCATCCCTGATTGGTCGTTCTTCCCGATCCGCCCACTTTTCCCATGACAAATGTGGGAGAATACGCTAACCGTCCGCCCTCTCTACACATTTTGTCACGCTCTCGTCGCACCTAACCGGGAATCTAAAGATAGATAGGAGGATCGGATAGAAATCCATATTTGCTACGGGAGTGAGGCAGCGGGATGAACACGTCCAGCAGGGAAAGAGGCTATCAGAAGCAGGGCACGTCATCGTGTTGTGATCACTTTCGCCTAAATACTACCCACCCCCCCCCTGTAAAAAGAGCCTCGGTGCTACCCCTTCCCCTGGCCGCTGCTAATCTGGTAGCAGCGGACCAGATCAGCAGCGGACAAACAAACCCTAAGAAATGGAAGATCTGCGAAAATAAAGGACAAAAAAAAGACGCGACAAAAATAATAAGGACTAATCGATTATAAATATGGGAAACACAACGAAAATGTGACATAATGAATCATAAGAAAATTAATAAAAGTAATGAATTATAAATGACCATTAAAAGACAAGGAAAGGAAGAAAGTGCGGGAAAATCCAGGTCAAAACGACCCCCTGTTGTGATCACAACGATAGCTAAAGTGGGCAGGAACCTTGGGGTCGAAAGTTCATATTATGTTGGGCAGTACTAGTTTTCTATGCAATATGTGTGTGGACGGGTCATTAAGTTACACGTTTGGATGTTGTGAGACGTTCCAAACGGGATAACTAAGAGAGATTCCTTTGTTTAAGGAAAAGAAAGTATCATTGGAACGGTAGTAGAGCAGCTAAGCTTATATCTTCTATAAGCTTTAGCCAAAGATGCTCCGCCATTGAGGGGCCCCATCGAGTACAGATTTTATTTGTATTTTTTTCGCTGAATTCGCAATTTAGAGACGTTACGACAAGTGATCTGGTGGATCACTTGGAACGCTCATCGCTTCTCGGCCTTCTGGCTAAGATCAAAGTTTAGTTTCTGCTCTTATCGAATGATCCTTCGATAGAGATTCAAAAGAATCTCATTAAGCTTATTTGATTTTGACCGGACGAGGTCGTGGGCTCGTGGAATAATGCTCAGGAAGAGAAATTATCTCTCTGAAGGCAATGAGGCGCTATCTCTCTGAAGACAGTGAGGCGCGAGAATGTCGCTAGTGCGATCCTTCTGAAGGGCTATTGAAGCTTTTTAAGTGGTTTCGGAGTTGGCTGTCGATCGTCTTCATTCAAAGAACCTTCACAGGGACCTGTGTCACGTAGCAGACCTCGACGCTACAAAAAGGCGGGCGTATGTAGGGCACGGCACGTCCTGCCATTGGGGTGAGCTTTGACAAAGGGCGACCCCCCCTTTCTTGTCGTATCTGCCATCTTCCTAACACCTTTCTGGAGCATTTTTCGAAATTCAGTTTTTTTCCGAAGAACTGCTGTAGAGCGAGAGCAGGTAACGTAGAGCACTTTAAACAGGAAAACTCGATAAATTCAAAGAGTGAAAACACTTTTTCTGAAGAGCAAGCTGTCCTCCCTCAGCGACGAACTACCACTCCCTACCTGGGTGCAAGTAATTTACAAAGAAAGAGTTCTAGTTGTTTGAAGAAGTGCTACATGCGTCAGCTTTGTGCAGAATAATGTGCTCCAGTAGTAGGGTGTATCATGCACGTAACACGACCCGACGCATCAGGAGTAGAAGTATAAAAACGATTTTGTCACCATTTGTGCCTAAGAAAGACTCGTACTGAGACGCTGTGCCGTGCGATAGAGTATCTCACTGTTCATTTCCCGCTGTCATCTTGAACCCTTGTCTACGGTATCATGGAAGAGTGACGTGGTTCCCCTCAATCTGCCTATTACTGATTGCAACTTGTTTGGAAAGGGTAGTACCTCTTGCTTAGCAAGCATAAATGTACATTTGCATGTTGGAGACCCCCACAGGAGAGGGGAGTGGGAGGGCAAAAGAAAAAGACACTTTTCTTCGTAGACTTTCGAGGCGAAATAAGTTACACTTTACTGAATTCTGAATGGGCATTTTCACCACCATATACGACAGCACAATGTACACTATCATAATACTCCGTCACAGCCTTCTGTATGAGCGCTACCGAGAGATTCTGCCACGCGACCGCGATTCGGTGCCTGAATGTAGCGAGGTTGGTAATTTCTCCGCCACTGTAGACCACCCTGTCGAGTTCCGCTCGGACCCGGTAATTGAGAGGGCTTAGGTCATGACACATTATTCCGTCTTCTTCAGGTACTCAACGCCCTTTCTTCCAAGTACGCGATAGTTTTTCCAACGCCCTGCGATTCCATGTGGTGGCACCCAGTCCTGTAGCAGTACAGTTTCCAAGATAGTACGGGCGACGACATGAAGGAGGATATTCTTCTCGACTTGGCCGATATGACAGTCACATTCGCTTTTAGACCGGGGTACACGAAGAAAATATCGGTCTTTCTGTTCCAGGTACTTCCGGTTCATACCACCAATCCCCGCCTTAGCGCTGCGGTGAAGATGATATCCTGAACCGTAGCGACGTTGTCGGAGCTGATCGATGTCTGAGGTCTTCCAGATCAAGAGCGCCGGTCTCCAGATAGCTGTCCATGGGTGGCACCATACAAGAAAATTTCGCAGATGTTTTGAGGTGACGTGAATTCCATAGGCCTTCTCCAGTCAGGCTGCGACTGGAGATGGCTTCTTATTTTGGTGTACATGAAGATGATGGACGAGGGCCTGCTCCTGCTCATGGAGGAACATCTTGGGTACCTTCCGCTCTAGTACTCATATCCACATCTTCTATCCGATCTGCAAAAACTTAACTGCTATGTGACTCGACCAAAGTATCTTTTTTTTGTCCCCTCCCCTATATGTGTTAGGTTCAAAGGATATCTTGATCAAAGTCCAGCCGTCCTCTCCCGAGATTGATGTGCTTCCTTAGTCTATCGACGTGAGAATGTAGAAAACTCTCTCTTTATGGCGTTGGAACTGAGGGGGCAAGTCGATTGTGGCGACGGAAGGGAGAGGACTCCTTGTGCAAAACTGGGCCAGCTGAGATGCAGATTTTTGTCCAACTATAAGCCTAGGAGGAAGGGAGCGCAGAGGCGCTGAACGAATCTCATCGTGATTCTGCAAAGAGGTAGTTCCTTTTCTGAAGGGAATGTCTTATTAAGGCGCAACCCCTCGCTCTTGGCCGACCTGCCGTACTGTGCTATACCTGTATTTGAATCGACCACTTGCCCTTCGCACCATGCTACAAATGCACCATGGTAGCTGTGGTCGGCCTAGTGATCCGGTTCACTGATATTCGCGGTACATCCTTAGCAGTTTGTTCAAAATGTCTTACTGTATAGCCCCTTAACTATGGGCAGTCGTGGCGTCCGTGGCTAATGTTCTACTGCGCGGAGTAGAAGTGGCAGATTTGGTGACAACTTGCACTTGGGAACGGTCTTTTAAGGCCGAGAGCTGGAATTCAGCGGTGATACAATAATGATAAGGACCGCTTTATAAGCTGACAGAGCGTGGTTGTTCATTTATTTCTACTAACCCTCGACCTACTTGCCGTAGCAAGTATGATGCTTGATTTGGTGTTGCAGATCATCGTTCTTATACTTGCGGCCATCTTTTCGTTGGCAACATGCGGCGGTAAAAAGAAAGCGTAAGTTCGTTGGCGTTTCAAAAGAATACTCGGAAATGGGTCCAGTGACTTGATTTAGCAAAGGGAAAGCCACACCTTCCGTAATGAGCAAACCAGGAGCACCACCGGGAGCACCAGGAGCACCAGCTGAAAAGAAAGAAGAGAAGAAGGTAAGGTGTGAGTGTTCCGTACCGCAGGGGAAACTTACAGACACATTGATACAGGAGGAAGCAAAGAGTAAGCAGGGTGAGCCGGTTAAATCCGCCGAGCCGGAGAAGAAAGAGGAGAAGAAGGAAGAAGAGAAGAAAGAGGAGAAGAAGGAAGAAGAGAAGAAGGAGGAGAAGAAGGAAGAGAAGAAGGAGGAAGAGAAGAAGGAGGAGAAGAAGGAAGAGAAGAAGGAAGAGGAGAAGAAGGTCAGTTTCACGTGTTGATCCTACAAACGAAATGACGTCTTTGAGGCTGCATCTCCAGCTCAGGCCGCCCCGTTATCGTGTTAGCTTTGAAATGGATCTTCATCCTATGCGCGCTCATTTTTACTTTACCACCTTCGTGTGCGGTCTGAATCATTCGGAGCCTGTAATCAACCAGCACCCAAGATAGTGGACAGGAAAATGCTTTCGCTATGTCGCGCTTCAAAACCAAGAGTAATGCTATACCGCGAGGCGGCTGACTGATGTCTCCTAATATTGTCGCCGCCGCGCGTGGTCCGCTCTCAGAATGAGTAGCATGCAGCAACTTTTTGACGTACGTTTGCGTGAATCTCCTGGGCTTCAGTAGCTTGTAGTTACCATTGGTATTACTTTCACCTAAGCAGCTCGATCTGAATGAACCGGAAAAAAATGCATTTTCGAGTGAGACTTGACAATCATACATGTCATACGCTATACGCGCACTCTGGGCAGGCCCGAGAACGTTCTCAGCCGGGGAAAAATGAATTCTCTGCAAAAATAGTTCCTATACCAGCATCGGGCCCAGGTAACAGGTAGCTGAAGATTCCATAACAGACATATCCAAAAGTGCACATTATCACTGATCGTTGAACTTGAGCGATTCCTTCCTGTCATGGCTGGCGTCTAACCTGGCCGTTAGGTTGCATTTGCATCGGTGCCCTGACAGACATAGATCCGCATCTGGATGCAGAGACAACTATGCGGGTACAATTAAACTTCCTTTCGCTCGCCTTTTCTATGCGAACAGCCCACACCTGGGCCTTTTGTGTTCCTGTGTTGAGCGCTTCACACCATGTATACGATATTAACCCATCAGCTTACGCCCTCATCAAGCACATAGCCGGGAGACGAGTCGGTTCCGCAGCTTACATATCTGCAGGCAAAGT